ACAGCAAATAAATATCTAATAAAAATAAATATCTGATAAAATATAATGAAAGTCTACTACGCGATAAATTGTATCAATTTATATTTGTTTTAGAATGGCTTTAACGGGAAAGGTGATTCTTCTCTTCTAATTGTAAGATACCATGTGTAGAAGATTCACGGAGCAATTAGGAACTGTATTCTTATAAGCCGCGCGTGTTATATTTATATACGTCTATCTAATTAGGCGTCTAAGCGAGTTGTCGATTAAACATTGCTTATACTCGCGATTTACGTGTTATACAGGATGCTTTTGATTAATCGCACTTTTTTCTCATTACAAGTGCGCGAGGTCGCGAGAAAACATTGTGTATGATGCTTTGTCGTGAAAAGTCATTTCTCGCAGATCGCGAAAAAACCTTAGCACATTATTTACGGTTTTTTTTTTATTAATAATGCTTTAGCAGTATCCTTATTAAATTTTTAGGCGCTTCAAAACGAGTTTGATGGTTGTTGCTCACGAGGACGGCTTACATTACACCGTCGCCATTACGTCAATCTTTATGTAAATCGCTTGTAACGTTTACGTAAGACGTTTGATTAGTATTTACGATTTAGACTAAATTAACGAGTCCATCTTCTCTCATACTAATTCATAAAATGATTGTTCTGGCAAATGAAATGTTCAAAAAATGTCGCAAAAATATTCTAATTTTCATTTAAATCAAAAGTTTTAGACTTTTGTGTTATTTGGGAAGCGATTATTAACAAAAGCCTAAATAAGAAGGTAATCAATCTACTGAAAACGGAGAGCGTCCGTTTTTTGTACCGTGATTTAAAAAATTTTTTCATTACTGAATTACGCGCATCTTTCCAAAATAAGTTTGCCGGATTCCTCGTACTCCTGACGCGACAGCCACATTTGTTGGAACGAGCCCAAGGAGCTGAGGATCGAGCCGCCGATCCAGGCACCATAACGTCGCTCGCTCGAGCTGTTCGCGCTAATTATTTTCAGTCTCATGCTCTGCGAAAAAAAATTGCGTCGTCATAAATTGAGAGGCCCAAAACTCGGTAATAAGTAGATTAGTGTGAGTACAGAACGTGCTTACCGGAGGGGTCTTACTGCCCAAGTCCCGATTCAGTCTCTCGCTAAATCCTTGAAGACAAGAATTGCCGCCAGTCACCACCACGCTGCCATACAGACTCTGCAACAGAGATTTCCTTATTTTGTAAATATTATAATTATATAATAGTATTAATAATATAAATAGAATATTAATATAACATATCCATAGTTATGTACAGAGTTTGAAGTCCGATAGTTTAAAGAAATTTATGAAGGCAAAAGATAGACATTTTATTATTTATCATTATTTTTGTACTGTAATTGTTCAATTTAATAAGATATATCTATATTTCATATGCTTTTTATTTTAATTATAAAATAAATCCATTTTTCTTAGAGACAGAATTTATGGCACGACTATATGATCAAAGATTCCGTCAAATCGATTCAAAATGCCTCAAGAAGGTTATTTAATCGTCAAAATCAACTTTATGCATAAATTAAATGTAAATTTGATTCCGCAAATACGTACTGGTCTGATATCCATGTCGCACATTCCGACACTCGTGGTGACAAGAGGGCCGACTCCCAAAATACTCGCGCCCACACCCTTAACGTTGCTGGGATCGAAGAGAGCTTCGGGTATCATGAGCCTCACGGATCCGAAATCATCGTTGTAGCCGGTCGGAAATTCGTAATGCTTCATAGGCAGAGTGTTCGCCACGTCTTCGTCGTAAGGACTGTCCGACACTTGCAGACAGTTCATCTGAAAGTCCTGCAGCAGCTCTCGGACCATGTAGCTCAG